TGGTTGAATGGAAACATTCTCAGGTTCATGAATAATGTTGTCATGATTTTCATCCAAATGTTCAACAGAAACACCAACTGACCATTGGGCTGGCGGTGGGTTACTTTGTGAGGAAGTTGAAGGACCTGTTCTCATATTAACAGTAGCTCTGTCTGCTAATATCCAACAGGAATGACATATACGACTTGCTTCGTCCACCTAAAAAAAGAAAAGAATACTATTATAGGTACTACGATACAGTAGTCCAGATAGTAATAAAAATCACTCACATCTTTGAGTACTATTCCGCTCCTATTGGATGTAGCGTAATATTATGTTACCTTTCTCAATAAATAAGCTATCTATCAGTGAAATATTTTTTCAAGTTGGTCTAGTAGATTCTGAGATTAGTGCATTCAACCAAACAAACTCTTTCGCTTTATAATATTAGTATAGAATTTTATAGCAACTATCTTGAGATATACTAAATTAACTAAAAATCGCGGGTTACTCACGTAAATATACTGAGAAAAGCCGTGAGAATATTCGTCGCCATATTGGCGGATTTTCACCTACAAGATGCAATGGATACAACTGGCGTCAATGTACTCGACTAGCGAGCAGTTCGAGTAGGAAGCGACCGGCAGTTGCGGAACGGACTCCAGCGTTCTTACCATACGTGAAAGGAGTAACCGACAGAATCGGACACCAGCTGCGCCATAAATACTGCATCAGGACGATCTTTTGCCCACCCGGTCAGCTAAGACAACTACTAAGCTCACCTAAAGATAAGGATCCGCTGGCGGTGCCCGGAGTATACATAATACCGAGTGATTGTGGCTCGAGTAACATCGGGGAAACTCGTTGCAATATCACATAGTAAAGGAAGCAACAAAAAAATATACGTAGCGTGAAGAAGATGGATATCCAGGCATCAGCAGTGGCTAAACATGTTTGCGGTACGGACGCGGCTCACTTCATACGTTTTGATAAGGTCTCCGAACTAGCGAGGGAAAAATACTTCGTTCCGCGAAAAGTGCGAGAGGCCATCATGATTAACCGACGACGTCCGTGCTTCAACAGAAATGGTGGCTGGGTACAGCCACGCTCGTGGAAACCGAGCTTGGAGTCTACGTCGATCCGCAGCGTCTCTAGTCTGGAGTGTGACACAGTAAGATATGTAGCGCGGACTTTGTGCTGAACTCGAAATCGAACCCACTACCCGCGCCGCTGGTGAACGTACCATGCGCTTTAACATCGTCCGATGCGCCGCCGCATCGTGGTGTCCGGCAGAGGGTGCGTTGGGTTAGATTCGCAAGTAGCAACACCGAGGCGAGCGCCAACGCTAGCCAGTAGGCTGTGCGACATCGCCGCGACCGCGCACGCTGCTCATGAGGAAGAACCCCTCAGTGGTTCGAAACTAGTAGAGCTTTTTTTCAGTATATTCACGTAAGTAACCCGCGATTTTTAGTTAAATTAGTACAGATATAGTTCGAATAATTTTAAATGTAATACTAAATTAAATTACCGTTTGTGGCAGAATCCATTCTCTAATCACATTATATATGGCAGATTCACGAGCAGTATCAATACGAAGAAGGTGGCTGAACCGCTGGGCTGAGAGTGAACGACCACAGCGGAGACAAACGCTTAAATGGCCAACTTTGGATGGTGCATCGATTGCGCGTCTTCCAAGAACCACATCTTCGGCCAAGTCCCAACATGCTTGGCATATAACGTTCTCACTGGTTACCTGAAATATTATAACCATTTAAATCTTGTTAAACCCCTAGTTCATGTTCAATAATCTCTATGTCAACTTGAATACGTAAAAAAATAGTAAAAACTTACAGGCTGAGATGCACGCCACTGAGTCCACTGACGAATAACTGTTAAAATCGTCTTATTCTCCAGGACTTTTCTCCCAATAGAATTACTGCGACCAATCGCAATCCTGCAATTTATACAGCGATCCATGTCGTCGATATCCAATCGATAGGTGTAACAGTTGTCCAAAATAGAGTCAGGTAATTCAGGGTAGCAAGATCCGTCGAATAGTCCGATATAATATGCAAAGCCGAGGTCGTGGGTTTAAACAATAAACCATGGAAAATACGTGCGCACTCAGAATGAAAGTAAACAAACGAGTACATCTGTCAGTCATTGTCAAACGCATGCTACCAATAAGGTTTGTCAGAAAAAAATACACTATAATATCGATTATAGTGTATTTTTTTAAATCGATTTCACGAAAGCTTAATGAATTAATATTCCGCGCAACGAAACAAAAATGGGCCGAGAATTGACCCCTGCGGAACCCCCATCCTGACAACAGACCCGGCGGAGACTTTTCCGTTTATCTCAACTCTCTGAATTCTGTTACTTAAGTAAGAGGTAAGAAGATCCAGAGATTTACCTCTTATTCCATAGTGGGATAGCTTCCTGATCAATGTATCATGAAGGACACAATCGAACGCCTTGGATAAGTCACAAAAGATGCCCAAAGCGTCGCTTGAGTCTTCCCACGCGTCATATATGTGATTAAGAAGTTCAACACCGGCATCAGTTGTTGAACGACCCCTGGTAAAACCAAACTGGCTACCATGTAACAATTTATTTCTATTAAAAAATCTTTGCATTTGATTTAGTAATAGTAGATTTAGTAATTCAGAGATTTTACTAAATGTAGGTAGTACTTACTGAAATTGGTCTAAAGTTAGTGGGGTCAGAAGTACTTAGTACTTCTGACCCCACTAACTTTAGACCAATTTGAAAAAGCCATTATTGAGGTGAAACTCCATTTTGATCAAGAGTGGTACGCTTTGCCACAGCGACCAAAACGTTTAAATCATGATGTATCGTATTCGCCCTTACATTCTAACATGATTGCCATAACTGCGTCAAAATATCAACATCTCCAAGAACTCAAACAAGTACTACCAATAGAGTGTCATAACTTTTATGATTCTTTGCCTCATTTGTAAATGAGCAGTTCTTCTATTCAATGTTTAAATATCTTGCATTTATTTTTGTTAATTTGTTAGTTTTGAAAAATAACCGTATTCTGTAGTTTTGATGATTAAACTATTTGATTTTTAACTATGTTGTTTTCGTCCAATAACACCTATCTAAAAGATAATTTAAATCGTTTTGATTAAATTTGAACCAATACTATCTAACTCATGGTATCTTGGTATATAAGAATATGAAAACCATCTAAGTTTACCTATCTTTTTCCAGCATTTATTTACTATTTTTATCAATTTTCACCTTTCTAGTAACTTATTATTTCAAGCAAAGAAATATTTTTTTTATCTACTGTAAAGTTGACTTTTGTGAGATAGACACAATTGATTCTTAACCGTCGACTACCTGATTTAAATAACGGAGTTATTTTACTATTTTTCATAAGATCAGGAAACACACCGCGGTCGATACAGTTATTAAAAATTAGAGCTAATACAGGTGCTATAATAGCTAAAACAGAACTGGCGATGTACACAGAATTACCCCACAAGTCTGCAGTCTTTTTCTTATTCAAAGTATGGAAGGTTTTGACTATATCTGTATAATCTATGTGTTCAAAGGAGAACCCTTTGTTGCAAGCTATAACATTTTCTTTTAGTAAAGATTCTGCAACAGTGGGAGATGAATTCAATGACTTAGTCGTGTAGATATAGGAATAGTTATACATATAACTCGGTACTTCGCAATTGTTTCCCGAACAAAATGGTTACTAAAAAGAATAGTATCAGTAATCATTGAATGTGTCTAAGGACGGCAGTAAGACTTGTGTGCATGAGTTTTTTTTTAAGGGGTAAAATCATCGAATGACTGCTTCCGCCTGGGTAAGTTGGGAGGGAGTATCAGACCCTTACTGACTAAAAACCACCACGTTCCTTCTCCTGCACTTCGAGCCGAAGCCCCGGTAACCCGTTAGGTTCTCCGCGACTGTGTGCATGCATGAGTTAGGGCCGATTATTAAATCAGTCAGACTTAATTGTAGAATGAAATTGATATTTGGTAGTTTTAGTATGTAACAATGACATATATTTAAAGTTAAGTACTCTTTAGTTATTTATCCAACCAAAGTTATTATGTAAAAAGCTAGCCAAGTCCCGATGGAGCCGCTCGTTCATTTCTAATATGTAATAAGTAATGAATTCTAGACAATATCGTGCCAAGTCTGAGGTTCCTTGGTGTGATTGTGACGTGTGTGATACGATGAGTGAGTGAGTGTCATAAATGCTAAACTTTGCTTTCGCATAACTATCGAAGTAAGTAACTTACAGACTTGAAATTTTGGATTTTAAGTGTGTGATTATAATTTACTATATGATGAAAATTTCTGCGTTCTGGTCTTATCCAGAGGTTCTCAAATAGGGGCCTGAAAATTGCGGCGACGTGGTTCCAGTAAAGGATGGTACGGCATTGTTTGTTTCGCGTTCGAATTGTCGGGAGCACTGCCGTGCTCCCAGATCTGGCGTTGGAAAAATTGGCCCTGAAGGTACTATACATAATGACTATGACTACACCACTACAGCGGGTTCGATTCCCAGGTCCAATATAGAATCGGAGGTACAGTTTGAATATAAGATCCTATCTCTGTGACATGAAGATTCAAAGGTGACTGATTGCATATCAAAAATAACACAATAAATGTAAATTAGAGTAGGTAAGTCCTATTTATGCTGACAATGTTATACAATTGATCGACACTATCGACAGTCTATTTATCTACCAAACTATTTTTACCTTTTGTTGGTTAAATACTCTAAGCTTTTACCAGATATTTTTTAAGATTGAACAACTTTTTGATATTTTGAAAAAGTGAAAAGGACTACGTAGGTAATAAAATAAAAAGGATAAAAATTAACGTGTGAAGGACGGTAGGTTTTTGTATTTACCGCGGTTGCTTCTATTCGTTTAGTTATTTTATCTTTCATGAAATGAAATTCAAACTTTCGGTAATTGCTATCGATAATAATGAAGACAAAACAACTCTCCACCTTAATGGTAAATAATAAAAATACTTTAAAATAAACAATAAAATATTATTCGCACTGTATGGAATATGAACATTGTATTCAAATACAATCAGTGCTTCTATGTGAGAAGTGGAAACAAGAACCGTCAAACATCTGTGCTAGGCTAGTGGAAACGAAGAAACAAAACGCAAAAGTGCTTTTGGGTTATTGTTTATTGATTGGATTCGTGCTTTCCTTATTATTCATAAAAATAAGATCTATTTGAATAAAATACAATGTGAAATGAAATATATATGACCCTACGCCATGTCAGCTAATGGGAATGGTGGGTTCTATGCACCGCTGAAACAAATACTGTCCGACTCGGAATCAGAGGATGATAAACTTGAAAATGCAATGCATATCAAAGCTACGGATAGTTGCAACAACCTGGACTTCAACAGTGGCCTGCAATCTTCAAAGAACTACAGCATAAGTGACATGGACGAGTTTAACACCAACGTGAATACAGTGGAGAGCACAATGGACAACGTAAGCTTCTTACAATCCGACATATCCACCAAGATGACTTTCCCGCGCCGGTGCGCGTTCATCGCTTCCATACTTATGTGCATATTCACCGTCGTGATATTCCTGTGGGGCATTCCTTGCTCAGAGGTCGGCAGCTGCGCCGCTAACGAGTGGCAAGACAAAACTACCAGCTGGGAGTTACCATACAATGAAATGGAACTGTCAGGAGCCGTACAGGTCGTCGACGGAGCGATTCCAAACACAAAGAACTTGATATTCATATACCGAGGCAATCATATGAGACTTGAACCTAAAACCAGCAGTGAGAATGTTAATGGTGTAGTTCTCATTGTTGGCAATTCTGGAAAAGTTGGCTGGTTCACAAGGGAAAGTAGAATACCAACTGATATCAACTGTCACCTGCTTGATGTCAATAGGGATAAACAAAAGGACTGTATTGTGTCAGGTACTGAGGGATTACTTGCAGCCCTGGATTCAGTCTCTGGAACCTATTACTGGCACATTCACAAGCAGGGAAAAGATCTGAGTAAAATAGTTGCGCTTGACTTTCCTGTTATGGTGAAAGACATGAATGATGATAAAGTGAATGATTTGTTGACAGTTGCCACTGTTTACCCCAATGCTAACCACAACTCTCTACTGATGATATCTGGTGCTACAGGCATGATCATGGCTGAGCCAATTCCTATTGATGATTGTCTGTCTGTGAAACTTCTAGCTGAGATGGATACAGTTACATACATCTGTAAGAATGGCACCACTGAAGCTGTGAGACTAATATCTTTTTCAGTATTAAAGAAAATGCTCAAGAAGGATCAGCCTATCAACCATACACAACCTCCGCCTACAGTCCTAAAAAGAATCAATGTAAGCATGAAGAAGAACATTGGAAACACTATAGAGACATTTACAAATGGTCCGGGAAAATTGAAGGTGGAAAATTCAGGGGAATGTCCAAATTCTTGCAGAGTTTACCTAAAACTTATGTTGGAAAGGAATGGCACAACTAATGTCAGTTGGGAGTATACAGCTAACAATGTGTATGCTATGAGACCTAGCTCTTTTGCCTTCGCAAACTCCATACGAGGGTTTGTGTTGAAATTATGACAGTGGAACAGTGCACACCTGGCAAAGGGTGCACTGAAAATTGATGAAGTCAGATACAATGTTCAAAATCAAAGTCCCAAAAACATTAATGACATGTTCTATCGATCCAATATAGATGTTGCATCAATATCGGCTTTCATTAAATACACAAACTTTACCGTTCATGATATTTCTGAGAGGATTGTTTTGGTACTATTTGACAAGCAGCAGACTCACAATGTGAACATTAGTCAAACGGATATTGTGCAGATTTGTGTGCGAGGGCCTATTGAGAGCAAGACCCCACTGCCTCTGTGCCAGCCTGACTTGGAGTACCAGGAGAAGTCTTTGATGATTGCAGACTTGGATGGAGATCAGTCCCATGAATTGATATCATATTACAGTACTTTTGTGGCTCCAGAATATACACCAAAGAATTCTAATCCGTATGATAATTGGAGCCTAACTTCCTTGGTGAGGGTGATTCGTTTAGAATCAGAATTACCTAAGCTGTTTGTTACCGATGTTTAATGACATTATCTCATGTAATCATTTTGCTTTACAATGTATTCTGCTGATATATAAACTTCAATTTGCCAAATGTAATGCTGGTGTGCTGTATATGTAGCTTGACAGCTAGCAATAGGTTTTCTAGTCATTCATCTTGTACTTATTGTCCATTGTATTGTCAAAGGAAAGTTATCTAAGATATTATATGTAATATTGGGGCTTATAGCAATGTATTTATGCTCCTAGAAGTCAGTGTACTGGTCAGTCCATAATTTCCTTGACATATGTCTTTATATAACTTAGGTAAGATATTACTCATGCATGTAGTTTTTACAATCGTTTTCGCCTGGAGTGTTCAATGTTTATTATAATAACTATTAACAGTAGAAGTAAGTATTCGTGTACCTATTTATATATTTCTAGTCTTTAGGATCATTGTGACTGTATACCGAGATAGTATAGTTTATCTCTGTTTCATTTTTCTAGTGGAATGGAGCCCCCTGTGGGTTTGTGTGATCGAAGTTTGGTATGTAACAGCCAGGGTAAAATATTCGTCGAATAACAAATATTTTGCAATGTTAATTTATATTTTAAAACAGTTTTATCCGAATGTGTTTTTAGGCTAATTATGTAAAGGCCACCCTGGCTTTAATTTTTCAGAATCTCAATATGTTTTGGTCTGGTTATGGCACATGAAATTGCTAGTCTGAGTATTTATACCACTGTGGTGATAAGTTATGCTTCACTAAATGTCTATTTAGTTTCGTATTAGAAAATATGCGGAGTGAAGTGCCTTAACGCGGGGGCTATGGAGTGGTTCTTTTGCGTCGATTCGTTGAAATAAAAACTTGTCAAAAATATTTGGTATTTTTTTTTCTTTCCTTGAAATCAAACTGCAGTATGCAAACATTTCAGGTTTCCGAATAGAAAGAAAACATCACATACTTGTACGAAGTTTTATTGCAAATACAAATAATGTCACTTTGCTTTGGAACTTAACAAACTTAAAAACAAATTAATCTTAAAAAAATAATAAATCACTAAATAGGAATTTGTCCAATAATCAACTACTTGTATTTATAACAAAAATATAATGTAGATTTACATATAGCAAAAATACTTAAGGTACAATTACTTAGCCATGAACATTGAATCCCACAATTAAGCCTTTGCAGCATAATATACTTACTTATAATTTTTTTAATTTGCATTCACATAATATATTTACGATTATTCAAGTATAATATCTTCATCATCGAGATGGAGATATTATACTTGAATAATCGTAATCTCGATGATGAAGATATTATACTTGAATAATCTTTTCTTATTTTTACTTATTTTTATTTTTACTTATTGAAATTTCAACTTTCAATAAGTAAAAATATATCAGATATTACAGAAATGTAGACTGATGCAGCAATGCAGCGTGCTAATGGAAAACCTTGGGTCACCGTAGCAATGGTTAGAAATGGGTTAATGATGTAGATTACGATTTTTTTTTTAAATAGTACGTAATAAATTCCTTTTTTAAAACAAGAGCATAATAAAAATAAGTCTAATTGAGTAATTTTATGAAGTTAGAAGTTCAGTTTTTGATCAGTGATGAGTAACTTAGATTGGGTAGAATAATTTAAAGATTAAGTGTTATTGTTTGTTTGTTTAGATTACCCTTATCTATAAGTCATTCTAATCTATAAAGGCAACTTTATGTCTTATAGAACACTAGTAAATATAATTTTAGAATTTCGAGTATAAATCAGTGGCCGATTTGTTCGTTCACAATCTCATAAAATATTAACATTCAAGGGTGACATACATTTAGTACTTTGAGTACTCACACTCATTTTTATTATTCAAAACATGAAACTAACAAAAGAAACTACTTCAGACTTGTTAATTTCTGAGAAAATTAAGAAAAGTTAAACTTTACTTTTTCAAGAAACATGTGAGATTAGGGACAAGAATAAAAATGTTTATATTAGAATCAGAAGTACTACATTGACAAGCGTGATAGAGATTCAATTTTAACATAAATAAATGCATACAGACTTAACACTTGAGAAAGATTTTGAACACCAAGGTAAACACTCCAACTGCGATACACTTCTTTCATACATTTATTCGTCTAAATCGTTCAACATTCATAATGAGAAAATAACCAGAGGAGTTACAATGAGTTGCCGGCCTTTTAAAAAGGAATACGCTCTTTTCTTAAAAGTTTGAAGGTCGTATCGGTTCAGATCATTCCACAGTGTGCGAGGTAGAAAGCTACGCGTACTGCAATACCTTTTAATGAGGCCTAGCATATTTTTGCTGACCAGATAGTGCTATTGTGAACCTTGTTATTCGTCCAATACGGAATTAGCTAGTATTTACATTGTACGGTTAATATTTCACAGCTGCTGTTTTTGTTTTCTTTTAATACATGACACCCACACCCGAAACAACTTGTGGATCACACAAAGAGCTCTGTGTGGGAATCGAACCCGTCAAAATGGTGATTGAACAAAAAACCTTTTCTTACATTTGCACCATTTGGTGAGCATGAAGGCTTGTCTAGAATCTATGAAGACATACATGAAGATAACACCAATTGTTCAACAGTTATCCTGTCATTGAATCCTACACAACAGGGAGTATTGAGTTAAAAATGAACGCTGAAATGCTCAGCAACAAATTCCACTAAACTTTGTAGCCATTGTACAAAAGAAATAAAATTCCCATACTTTTGAGCTCACTTATCTCCAAATACTGAAACGCTACTGAATTTAAAGTTGAGCTTAAGTATAGTTCTGTCACTACAAATTTATTTATATAATAATGAAACCCGTTCCCCGTTGTCACGCCATAACTTGAGCATGGCTGGACCGATTTGGCTGATTTTTTTTGTTGTGGTTGTTATTGTCGGGAGAAAACCGGGTTGCGCGTACGACGTCGCGGGCAGAAGCTAGTTCTTTATAAAATGACAGTGATAGCACGATATTTAAGTACAAATTAAAATTGAGTAGCGTTTTAATATTCGGGTGTTAGACTTTCAACTTCGACTGAATTATGAGTACTTAAAAATCTTACGAGTAATATTTTGACCAATATCAATATCAAACTTGGTTTACAAATTGCAAGCGAATTAAGAATTGTTGTGCAATAAGTATCAAATAAAATAAAGTGATTACAGCTATTATGCTTACCGATCACATCCTTGTACTTTATCACAAATTGCACTAGGTTTTATCCTGTGGGTGCGCTTACACACAACTACACACATCACAGCCAAATCCAGGTCAAGCACCTATATTAAAATTTATTCCTTAAAATAACGACAAATGAGAATTCCTTTATTAGATTTTCTACCTTAAGCCTTTGTAATACGGTTGAAAATTTATTAATGGAGATTCTGTCTTAGTTAACGATTTGTCGTAATTCTTTTCGAGAACAACCCTGTAGTAATTTTATAAGTTTAAAAAACCTATCAGTCGATAGATGTCACAATACACTTATGATCTACGTTAATTGTCAGTAGATTTATCTACTAGATCTATATACAGGTAGAATTTTGTAATGCCACTTGAAGGGGAAGTACTCTTAATACTTTAGATAGAAAATTTTACTCAAAGAAAACATTCTTTTATTTTTGAAAAGAAAGAAATCTACATTCAAAATTTTTAAAATTCTCTTGCCGCACACGGTAATCGAACCGACTATAATCTGTAAAAGTTGCATCCTGTACATTTATTGCATTGATTGTTAGGGTCAATAAGGATGAAATCTCTCTAAGAAACTTCATAAATTTAATGAAAGGAAAACAATGAACGATTGATGCAATAAAAGTGCAAAAACAGGGTGCCAACATTGACAGTTTTTAGTCGGTTCGATTATCGTGCGAGGCAAGCTAATTTTAAAAAACCTTTGAATACAGTTTTGTACTTTTCAAAAATAAAGGAATGTTTTCTTTGAGTAAAATTTTCTATCTTAAGTATTAAGAGTACTTCCCCTTCAGATGGCATTACAAAATTCCACCCTGGATAATTTCGATACTACAATGTGTAAACGGACAGCGCGCTCCCGAAAAATGCCGACAAGTGATGGTAAAAAACAAGTTCTATTATCATAAAGGTAAAGTATCTTTTATGAAATGATAGTTGTAATCAGCCGCTCAAAGCTCATCAGCTTTGCATGAATAACAAAAAGGATTTAAAAAAAAAATGTTGTATTAGGATTTTCTGCTGTGTCGTGGGTGCGTTTACAAACGTACAAGTTCACATACACATGACACCCAGACCCGGAACAACAATTTGTGGATCACACAAAGAGTTGTTCCGTGCGAGAATCAAACCCGCGACACGTTGCACGGCAGCCGGTTGCCCAGTCACGCACCAACCGTGCAGTCAAATTTAGTTTGTAAAAACAATTTCTTTTTGTCGGCGTTTCGGGAGCATTCTGTCTACACCTCGTATAGAACCTTTGTCAAATAACCTGTCTTTACACTTAGGCTAAATCCGTGAAAAATGTTTATAAACAAATTAGACCATATATCGTGTAGAAAAACTACGCCTTTAGAATTGTAGTGCAGTTAAACTCCAGTTCTCTTTCCCACTCAATTTA